GGAGGGCCTCAGGGAGGGGCAGGTGGAGGGTCTCACAGAGGGACAGGTGGAGGGTCTCACAGAGGGACAGGTGGAGGGCCTCAGGGAGGAGCCTTACTCTGGAGCAGGATGTCTGGAACCCTCTCCATAGTGAACTTGGACATAGAGGCAGAAAAGGAGAAGGGACTAGTAATACTCCCTGGTGTCTGTACAGGAGCTGAGCTTTGGGATTCTATTTGCTTCATCCACTTCTACTTGCCTCTAAAATAAACGAGGGAGGAAAGCCCTGCCCACTTTAACCTTAGATAGTTTCTCTTCTGTTAGGGTCAGGATAATCTTAATGATTAAATATAGCTGCTGCTAAATCAAAAGACTCATTCTTTGTTTCTGGGAGATGGGGAAGAGACATGTCTTGGTATGTGTATTCTTGGTCACCTGTATCTCCTCTCAAACTCTGGAAGACTTCCAGATGTAGGCAGATGAATTGGTCTGTGGGGCCCTACTACATTTCTGTTCCTCTCATTGTCTGGAAGTGGTTCTTTTGGGGAGTGGGGTCCCCATCATTCTCAGCCCCGTTCATTGTGTTTTGTGTATATGTGTGGCATGTTTATTCAGTGTGTCATGTACATATGTGTTGTACATAACATTTCCGTGTGTGAGGTGTGGACCCATATTAACCTGGAGTAGCTTTCAGCTTCTAAGTGAGAGGATGAAGGGAAACTTCCATGAGGCTCATAAAGACTTAGAATTCAGGGAAACAAGAATTTGGCTTTTAGAAGGATTTTTTTCATGTTTTTATTCTTAAATATAGAAAAATTTGCAAAAAAAAAAAATCCCTTACCAAGTGAAGCCTCCAGACGTAACAATTTATAGGACAAACAGAGAAACTTGTTAAAGACTACCACGGGCGGCAGACTGAGATGTACCAGGCCAGTCTGTGCCTCACCACTGGCTTCTCATCACACCCCGGCTGGGAAAGGCCACGTGTGCAGACACCCCAGTCTGCATGTCAGAGCTCCAGGCACGCACCCCCAAACAGCCTCTCCTCGGCTGCCCAGAATCAGCACTGTACAAGCAGGTGGGGCAGTCACCCTTGGGAGGGTGGACGCAGGAAGGGTCTGCACAACTTTGTTCACAGTTGCATAGAAGTGAAAAGAATAACAGCATGAGCCTGTCAGTTACTTAGTAGCTTAGATTTGGGGAGTCCGAGCCCTTGCTCTGGGTGCCATCATTTAGAAAGCTCCCCACCCTTCCTGCATCCAGGTGTAAGCATAAATAAATAAATCTTTAAAAAATAAAAAAAATAATGCCGCCCCCTCCTCTCCCCCCAGTTTCACTGGTACACACTGGAGAGCAGTTTGGGGAGCTCCTTGCACTTTTATGCCAGGAGTGGAACTTTGGACTGGGCCTGAGGTTTTTTATAAAGAGAACCAGTCCTCGTCAATTATTTGGTCACCCTAAGTAGAGTTCCTAGAGACAGATGAAATGCAAACTCCTTTTAAACATTGTCTCAAGGCTGCCCAAATTAGAAAGCTACATGTGTTGCCTCATTTTTCTTTTCCAAGCCAAATGAAAAATGACATAACATTGCGAGTGTTACTAGATTGAACTATCCTGAGCCGACTCTTCGTGGTGAGAGCAGTCGAAGAGGTGTTCCGTGGGCTGTTTTCCTGAAAATAACGATTTCTCAATTATACATTACTTTGCAGAATGACTTCTGTGGGCTAACTTAAACATTTGCAACTTTTCCTCATTTATCCTTAGCTTGCTTTCAGATCTGTGCACCTGGACACCCCTGGCTTCTAATGGTCACTAGTGGGGTTGAGGTTGAGGTTGGGCAGGGGTTTAGCTTCCATTTGCTACTTTTATCTAAAGACTCAGAGCAGTTCAACTATTTTTGTAAACAGTTCAAGTACTTTACTCAGTGATGCAACTCTCAGAAACTGGCATGTTCTTTTAAATCCTGTTGTACAAAGTTACCTTTGGAATCATGACATACTTTGAAGGAGAAGATACTGTTATCACTGGTCTTTGCTTCTGTTTTCAAAGGCAGGAAAAACATTTGCAGACTGAAACCTGTTTCACCTCTGTTATATTAGCTCCTCAAATTTGGATAATTGCAAACAAATTTTAGGAAAGTATCTATATTACAAGTTACAGTGCAAGGTGTTTTATGCCTGGTATTTTGGTTGTTTTTTTAGCAGGCTTTCTACAAATGTGTATTGTCTCCATTTTATATATTGAGAAACAGGCTCAGATTGCAGTGTGATAGTAATCCTTTTCCTGTCTTTGAGTGCATGAGAGAAAAGGTACCCCTTAAGATACTTTATTACCATCTGCTGAGAAATTATCTCAAAGAATACACAGAGGCATGAAGACTACAATGTAAGCAGGACCACCTACAGCTGGTCTACAGTCTTAACACTACCTGATGGCCTTGATGGAGCTATTAAATAATTTGCCAGAAATCAGAAGCCATTAAGTGAATGGGACTGGACTTAGAACTTGGTCCTCACTCTTCTCATCGCTGTATTCTGATGTTTCTCTGACTCTCTCTCATGCACAGCTGATTTAACAGGGGCAGTCTTAATCAGAAAGGAAGGTGAAGGCCACGAAGAAGAAAATTGACTGATGGAGAGGAGTGCTCCAGATCCTTGCCTTTAGCCTCCCAGTGTTCCAGGAGAGCAGGAGTCAGGTAACTGTTGCCAACTGCCATTCTCCCACCATCCGGGGTCATGTAAGACCAGAGAATTAAGGCATCAGAGCCATGAGACTCCAACCAGAAGTGCTTAGAAATTTTCTTTATGCATTTAAATAGACAAGATGATGTAAGACTTAGCCTTTTGGAATACCATCTTGGGAGTAGTATATTCCTGGGAAACTAACCTCTGGTTTCTTTTATGCTTTTTTTTTTTTAAGGAGAAGCCTCTGAGGTTTGGGTCACCATGGTTTTCTGAGCATAAAATTCAGATTCTCAATGACATCTGGCCCAATTTGACCCGTGTGGGGGAGTAGAGTTTATGAGATTCCAGACAGTCTACATCTACACTTGCATTCTCGTTGAGCCAGCCAGTCTTTGATTTTGTTATCAGTCCTGACATCTGGGATAACAGCTTTTATTCTTTATTGGGTTTGGAGTGCTCCCTGTGGATTTTGTTTGCTAGACTGAGGTCAGACACACACACCTCTGGCCTTTTGATATAGATGACTGAAGATCCTTTAGCGTCCAAAGGAAACTGAAAGAATTTCTTAATTTTCTCTTTCAGTTGCCACTAGGTACCATTAGGAAATTAAATTGCTCTTCTTTTTATACATGTATTGACAAGTTTGTGTACCTTTTATATGTTAGAGAATCACTCCCTAGATTATCTTGATAAAGGAAAAGTTCTGGAGAGATGGTGATTCCCAGTAATATATTTAGCTAGAAAATTTCCTGGGTAAAGCAGGGAAGTTGTTGGGGACCACTAGGTGGCAGTATTATACTACGAAAACGATGCTCTTCAAGGCCTGGCAGCTTCTGGTTCTTTCTGAGGCCAATGTCTACACAATCAAAGAGACTTCTTGGTAAGTAAATGGCACCCCCTCCCCACACCCCCCCTCCCATTTTCCACTTATTTATGTGATTGATTTAAATGCTTGAGATGACTGGGAGTTCTTCAAGGGCTGGGTCTGTATCTATTATCACGGTCATAGGCCCTGGTCCAGCCCTAGTGTCGGAGGCATTCAGTGAAAACTTGGCAAGTGAATTAGTCTTTGAGCAACTTAGATTACTGCTGGAAGCACCACTTTCAAGAGTGTTGCATATTCTGGCCTAGAGCTTGGGGACCTGATGCTGACAGAAGATCAGTTGGGCAGAATCTCAGGGAAGCAGATTGGAAGGCAGAAACACCAAAAGCCACCTGAGGTTCTCATACAGCTTTGTATCACTTTTATCTTGATCAGCTTTAGCTTGTTTAAGTATATAGGGAGAGTATAAACTGTAAATTCTCATATTTTTTCCCCCCTCGAGTCTGTGTATCTTCTAAGGATGGCTCTCTATTGGAAGAGATGTCCAAAAAAAAAAAAAAAAAATTGACTCTGCCTCTCACTCATTAGCATGCTTGTCATTCAGTCATCATTTGTTCATTTCACAAATACCCATTGAGCACCTATTGTGTGCAAAGCACTTGTCTCCTACATGATTATCTTTTCTCTCATGGCCCTTTGAGTTCAATTAATCGCTGAATCATATATCCACAGCATTCACCTCCATCCCTGTCTCTGTCCCTTTGTTCTTACCCTCATCCAGCCCTCCCGTTTCTTTCAGCTGAGGTACAGCATCGACCGCTGCCTTTACCTCTACTCCCACTTCCAACATGCAAGTATGATCACAATATTTCCTGAAAACTTTTCCTTGCCCTCAGGACCAAATTCAGTCTCTTTAGCTTGTCCTAGCCTTGCAAGGCAGGCCATGCATGACCTGACTGGGCCCTGCTTGACCCTCCCACCCCACCCCTTTTCTCTATATGCTCCATTTATGATTTTTTCTGGGGGGGTGTTCCTCCAATGAGCCATATTCTCTCTTACTTTAAGACATTCCCCCCTCCCATACTTTTCCTTCAATCTGTAAATATTTTTTTCTTGCCCATCTGCCTAACTTCTTTCTACTCATTCTTTAGTAACAGCATACCTGTTACTTATTTGGGGGAGCTTTTTGTGACCACTGTCAGGGCCAGGTTCTGCTCTTTCATTTTACTTCGCAAAGGCTTATGGGAGTCACAGCTTGTCACCTGCACTGCCAGGCTATGAGTTCTATGAGTGGCACCTGTCTTCACTACATATCTTAAGCACTTAGTTGAGTGTCTGGCACATTAATCCTCAAAAACACATGCCAAATGAGTGAATGAATAAAAAATGTATATGGCATCTCTTTTAATTAGGGCACACCTATCTGGCCATACAAGCTGGGGGGAGGAGGAGGGGGCACTTTGGATGCTACTTTCTGAAGCTGAGGTAGGTTTTGGCAATTGAAGATGTTTGTGGAGGTGCCCTTTAGGGTGGCAGGAAGAGACAGAGGTGGGAAAAGTTGGAGGATAGACAGGGGGTGTGGTGTTTCTATCAAGAGAAGAAGCAGGACTGGGGACCTGAGCGCTGAGGGCCAGGCTGGAGACAATGGACTGTAATAATAGCCAGTGGGAGCCACTGGTGGCGTTTGAATAGGAAATGATAATTGAACTAAATTAGCACTTTAGAAAATGTTCATCTAGTGGCAGTGAAATGTGTATTGGGCAGAGACCAGCAAAACCAGTGAGACCAGTTAGGAGGCTATCATAGAAGTTAGGATGATAGGTGATTAGGGCTTGGGTTATGCAAGTGGCCATAAGATTGGAGACAAAGGGACATTGTATAAAGGAAGAATTAACAGGAACCTGGAAACTGGAAGGAAAGAGGGAGGAATAAAAGGATTCTTAGGCTGATTCCATGAAGTGCTGTCATCATCAGAAACCATGAAGTCAAAACAGAGAAAGTTTAAGGAAAGAGAAAAGATTTCATCAAAACATTACATTATGCTTCCCACCACAGAAATCCAAGTAGTGCAATGTGGGGCAAAAAAGAAGCAGCACAGTGGGAAGGAATGACAGAATATTATGTCACCGGTGGGCTATTTCAGTGCTGGCACTCAGAAAATACATCCCACGGGGAAGGTAAATTTGCTGTTCTCCTTTTGATTTACAAAGCCACGTGTATTTTATGGGTGAGTCAAGGCTTATTTGAGGGCAATTTTGGCTATTTACAATTTATGCCTTATATGCTGATTTGAGATCTGAATTCCTTGGCAAGATCTGGTTTTATAAAACTATGCCAGCCACTCGGCTGGGCAGTAAGCAGTTGCTAAGAAGACACATCTCTGGTGATGGGAAGCCCACGGGGATTACAATTGAGATGAAAAAAAATAAAGTACAAAATGATATAAAAATAAACTGATATATTTAAAAAATAAAAAATATATAAAAAGTTAAACCAGGTTCAAATAAGTAACTTCAAAAAAAAAGAAGAAGACACAGCTCAGCCACTGCACTAGAGTTGCATATAGCCTCGTTGGGTTGAAAGATACAGAAATAGACAATTAGGACCACAGCGTAGGTGAGCAGTCAGGGAGGGAGTGGGCGAGAGAAGATTCCGGGTTCTCATGTCGAAGCAACCCCTCTGGGGTTGGAGAGAGATCTGGAAGTTCTGAGGCCAGGTGAGACACAATGGAAATGGAGCGGGAAACTATTGAGGAAGGAAAGAGACTGAAGGGTAGAGCTAGAAAACATACTCTCACTAGAAAGCAGGGAGAGCATTAAGACGCAGCAACTCTCAGGGAACTGGGAGGGAACTAAGGCAAGGTAGGTGATGACTGAGAAAGGGAAATCAGCGGTCACCCCGGGAAGCAGTTTCAGTGGAGTGGTGCAGGTGGGACTCTAAGAACCTGGAAGCAGAAGGCAATGTACACCACTTCTTGCAGTGACAGTTCCAGTGACGCCAATCTAGATCTGTCCCTTAGTTCCTAGTGAACTTCCCTGGAGAATGTCTGGGAACTCTAAACACCGTGACATGTTGCTGTCATTTCTTCCCAGGATGGCCTCTACTGTACCCTGGAAGCGTGCTTTATCCTCATGGTATGTGGACCCAGGAAAGGGCTTTGTTCCACCAAAGCCTGATAGGCAAGCGGAGCCGTCCAGCTGAGGCATGATCTCAGCTGTGGTTGTTCCCTTTTATGCTAAACATATCTATGTTATTTTCTTCCACAAGTAGAATCTACATTCCCACATGACTGCAAATGCTAACTTGCTAATCGCTTCCCTGGAGTTTGCTCCTTGCAATTACCTCATCATAATTTAGACAAGGCAACATGTAACAATTTATTCCAGGAAGTAGGGAGCACTGGGTGTTTTTTAGTCAACGGTTTCTGATCCTAGTTGTATTGTTCCTTTAAAAAGATTTGAATAATATGAAAAAGTCATTTCTGTGTACCCACACAGTTACAACTCCTGAAGTTCTCTTCATTGCTTTGTGCAGAATCATATGGCATCATGTTCTTTCTGCCTAAAAGTCTTTAACATTTCCCATAATGCAGGTTTATTGATACACTATAGCAATGAATGATTAATTCATTCAACTTTTGTGAATCTAACAACATCTTTATTTATTTTTTGCTTTTAACTTTTTTAAAAAATATTTTTACATCACTCTTCATTTTGTGCGTTTTTTTTTTACCTTCAATTCTAGAAGATATTTTTGCTCGGTAAATAATTCTAGGCTGGTAGAGTTTTTTTTCAGTAACTTTAAAAATATTGCCTCATTGTCTTCTGCTGCATATTTCTGATGAGAAGTCCACCAATGTCATTTTCACTTTGTTTTGCTATATGTAATTTTTTCCCTTTGCTGCTGTTATTATTTCCTTTTTCTCTCTGGTTTTAAGTAGTTTGATCATGGTATGCTTTGATGGGGGTTTCTTTATTTTATCTTATTATTAAGGTAACATTGGTTGTATACATCACTGTGTATGCTTTAGGGATACAGTGCACCCCAGGTCTTGTATACATAAAAAAC